ACATCTGGATGGAGCATTTCATATGTGAGGTTAACATCTTCATTATTTCATTGTATTCTTTTTTTTTTTTTAAGATTTTTTTTTTTTATTTGACAGGTAGAGTTACAGTGACAGGGCGAGACAGAGAGAAAGGTCTTCCTTCCGTTGGTTCATCCCCTAAATGGCCGCTACGGCCGGTGCACTGCGCCGATCCGAAGCTAGGAGCCAGGCGCCTCCTCCTAGTCTCCCATGCGGGTGCAGGGCCCAAGCACTTGGGCCATCCTCCACTGCCTTCCTGGGCCACAGCAGAGAGCTGGAATGAAAGAGGAGCAACCGGGACTAGAACCCGGTGCCCATATGGGATTCTGGCACCGCAGGCAGAAGATTAGCCAAGTGAGCCACGGTGCTGGCCCTCATTGTATTCTTAAGTCTTAGATCCACTACACGAAAACTTTCTTTCCAAATATTTTCCATCACTAAGCTAGTTATGTGGGGAGCACATTTCCTAGGCAAAAATTGAGAAAAGCAGATATTAGATGCCTCATTTCAATTGAAAGAAAGCCTGGCTAATGAAATTCTACAGAGGTTCTGAGAACCAGTGCATCTCTACATGTGCATATAGGTGCACAGCAGAAATACCACTTTTCAAATTGACTAGTACACATCACTGAACCTTTCTAAGAAAAAAGCCTTAGAACTGCAATATAAAAATTTCTACTACAAATCGACTAAAAATGCACTTCCATATTATTTACTACTAATTCTTAAGCTTGATAGGTTTCAGCATAGAAAAACTGAAGATGTCACAATACAGCCAAGGAATCTTGTTTAGGTTGACTCATATCTCTGTCCCAGGAGTAACTGCAGTGGCTATAAGTAATTAGAACTTAGGTTATGGTTGATAATAATATTAAAGTGTGAAGTGGAATTACTCATGATTTCTAACATTCTAACACTTTTTGAGTATTTACTATGTGCCATGCCCTTTATTAAGTCCTTGCGTGTATTATTTCAATTAATCTTCAAAAAATTCATACAAGAAATGTATCTGGACTTTGGAAAAAAGACAAGCAATCTGCTTCTGCTGGCCAGGTGGTAGGCTTGGATTTGAACCTCAAGCCACCTGAATCCAGATCCTGAGCTCCTAACAACAACAAGCAGAAAAGTTAGGCCCCACTTCTCTCTCTTTTCTGTGCCTCCTACACTTTCTACACATCTACACACACAAATGAAAATCCAGAGATCATTTCATCAAGATAACAGACCTGGGATCTAATTCATACTAATAGCGGGGTCAGCAGACAAAGGAAAATGAAGTAAAGAGTAGAACTACTCTTAATCAAATCTAGCTGACATGCTTTGGATGACTGGATTAGCCAATGCTCCATCCCCTCCACAAGTAAAACTGATCAAAGTTCCTCTCCTATTCTCACAGATTTTCGGTTAATCAACTTCTGATTAACCTACCAACTACATCAGAGGAGAGGGTTACACCACAGGCATTTTTTTCTGGGTGTGTTACATGAATCTATAAGATTTATAGGACATAGTTTTAAATCAAAAGAACTTTAAAACAAAACCAGAATAAAGGAGGAGGGAATTTGGCTTCTAAGTCATGTATCTAGCAAATCCAGTCAGTTCAAAAATATATCTCTAACTCAAGGAAATCAATGAATGACACTGTTGGAAAGAATTGAACTTACCATAAAGTGCAAGCTCATTTCCTATGGAAAAATGCAATGATTTATTTCTTCAGTACAAGCCACTGAAGGGACTGTCTAACTGTGACTGGCTGCAGTCTACCCAACAGAAGATATGCAAGCAAAGAGGAAACACACTGTTGAGAAAAAATACACAGTTTCCTTTTGTTTCCTTTACTAAACAGAACAACTCTTCTTTGGGGACCAAATCAAGGACTTGTAACAATTGACCACATGGTATTTTCCATGCTTGCAGCCAGTAAAAATTAGAAACTAAGAAAGTCAATGAGAATCCAGTTATTCCCAGAAAGGCAAGAGTTTCTATGGTGGATGCCTCCTCACATGGGCTTCTCGCCCAGCTGCAAGATCTCATGTCTTGGAATCCAGATTTCCCTCACTCCAAATGAACAAGAAGCTATTAAGAAAAAATCATACACATCCTTTTCTTATTCTGTTTTACTCCACCTTGGCTGAAACATCAACTGTGGGAGGGAGAATGTTGTGAACAGATGGTGAGGTATTAAACTGTGGTACTTGGAAGTGCTGTGGAAGTTGTAATCAACCCATTGGCCAGGGGGGGAGCCACAGGAAGGAAGCTACAGGACTAAGACAAATGGATGGTAACTGGCAAATACTATAGGATAGCCCAAAGGTACAGATGAAAAGGCGGAGGAGTTAAAACACCTGCTTTGACAGAGGCTGATAAATTTTCATTGTATCTGCTTACAATTTATTTTATTTCACTTTAGCCACAGTAATCCCATGAATTCAAAGAGCTCATCTATTTCCTATTATGTTGCCTTTTAGAAAGCCCATTCAGGGTGGTGGCACTGAGGCGTAGTGGGTAAAGCCTGCAGTGCCAGCATCCCATATGGGTGCCAGGTTGAGTCCTTGCTGCTCCACTTCCGATCCTCCTCTCTGGTGTGGCCTGGGTAAGCAGTAGAAGATGGCCCAAGTGCTTAAGCCCCTGCACCTGCATGGGAGATCTGGAGGAAGCTCCTGGTTCCTGGCTTCGGATCAGCACAGCCCCAGCCATTGCAGCCAACTGGGGAGTGAACCAGCGGATGGAAAACCTCTCTCTTTTCTCTCTCTCTCTCTCTCTCTCTCTCTCTCTCTCTGCTTTTCCTTCCTCTGTGTAACTCTGACTTTCAAATAAAATAAATAAATCTTTAAAAAAAAAATACAGGTTTTTCTTATTGATTGGTTCAATTGGATGGGATGTCTTCAGAGTTCTGATGCTTATAAAATATCAGATCTATATTTGATTTTTCTGTCATTGATTTAGTCCACAGTGCACTCGCTAGTGTTTAATGGATGTAGCACTTTTTGAATTAAAGGTTTGCAGTTTCCCCCTCAGTTACCAGAACACTCTCTCTGAGAGGCCTGAGTGCACACAAGAAAGCTGATAACCTGAGGCCACCAAGCTTGGCAGGCCACGTTTAGGCTGTCTAGTGGACATTCCCAGATATGCCCAGACTTCCAGCCAATCCTGACAAAGCACCTTTCTTGCAAGATCAGAAGCCTATAGATTTTAGACTCCAAGAATTAGCTCCATGAGTCTTTCCATTGGTGGTCCCAGACATCCTTGAAGCAGAAACAGGCCCTTCTGCTCTGCCTTGATCATATTCTTGACCCAAAGCATCCATGAGCATAATAAAATCTTTTTTTTACACTATTAAGTTTTGAAACAGTTGATGAAGCAGCAACAGATAACTGGAACCATATGTACAATAAGGGAGGTGATAAACCCACTGGTTATGGAACCCACACCTGGAATATGATACTTAGTTCTGGGTGATATATTTCAAAGATTAGAAAACAAACACACTCAGAAAAGAATAACAAGCATGTTCTTTTACAGGGGGAAAAAAATGAAAGGATTAAAGATATTCAAACCAGAAAAGAGAACAAAGAGTATGTGTTAATTGTCCTCAAATATCTGAAGTGTTATCATGAATGAAAGTGAAAACAATTACTCTGTATATTCCTAGGAGGGAGGCCTACAGACAGTGGCCAAGAGGTACAGACAGTCAGATGGAAGAATATTTCAGTGTTCAGAGTTTCTGAGGAAAAAAGAGGCAGCATTAAGGACTAGTGAGTTCCCTAACATTAAAGGTAATCAAGCAAGGGCCAGATGAGCAGCATATGACGGGCAGGCTTAGGAGAGTGCATTTACGGAACACAAGATTGAATGAAATCCCCTTACTTGAAGGTTACACTGTAACACTGAGATGTTTTTAATCTAAAGATCATCCCTATTTCCTTGTGCTAAGAAATCTAATCCCAACACATGTTGAGCAGAGGAAAAAAAAAAAAGATGAATAAATTAAATGAAAGGCAATACCAAAGTATAAATAGAAAGTGATGCAGAACTGTAGAGGAGAAAGGAATGGCAAACAGGAAAATATAACCCAGAATGGCAGGGGAAAAAATCTGAAAAGAGATGGAACACGAAGAATAAACGAGAGAAGAGAGGAAGAAGGCCAAAGAAGCCCTCACACACAGCAGTGGCTGCAAAGGGTGCCTTCAGCCCTCTTGAGAAATTGATTTATTTATTTGCAAGAGTTTTCTCCCCCATCAGTAGGTGACACAGGCCAGAAGACTGTGAGTGGTATAGAAACAAAAGGATCAAGATTCAAGCGCTAAAATGAGCGAAGCTCTTCAGCGATGCCTGAATTTCTGGCCTTAAAAGGTACAGGACCTGTGTGTCTATAGGATCAAGCACACTACTATGGGTGCAGTTGTCTCTAATGTCAGCACGTAGAGTGTGACCACTGAGGGAAGCAAGAAAAAGTGGAAACTAAACCCTCATTCCTTAACCAAGCCATATGAAAAAGGAAACCAGAATCATACAGAAAAGGAGAGGTGTCCAAAACAAAGCCATGGAGGAAATTAAAAAGAAAGAAGGGAGGGAGGAAGAAAGAGGTTAAAAAGTTATCTCATAAACATTTCATATGAATTTTATCACCATTTGTAATCAACTTCCAAGGTTTCATGATACCCTTTAACCTTAGTTACTCCACCCACTGAACAAGCCATTTCATTGTTAGCCCCTTTGAAGGAAGAGTGGGCACCCTTTTGATGTTGATAAGAGAAAGAAAAAGGGGGTCACGTTCAGGAAAGGACAGTGTTCTGAGTAAACGCCTGGTCTAGTGGTGATAATCTGTCATTCGCCTTAACCCTTTCAAAGATTCATCAAACCAGAACCTAGAAATTCACGTAGTTGATGGCCTAAGACTATTTTTTTTTGTTTAGAAAAGGCAAGCTTTTGTTTTGTTTTGTTTTTCAAATAAAGAACGTAAATGACACTTTATAACTCACCCATTTCCTAGGTCTGCCTCTTGGCCGTTTTTCTCCAGTGGCTTCTGCTTTCTGCAAAATAAAAAAGAAGTCACATAGTCTCCTCCCTGACACTATGTACAAGTGCAGCCCCCAGGGACACATTTCAAGATACGATGTTCTGGTCTGCAGATGAGGTACCAGGATTGTCTTAACAACCTCCTTCCCCTTTAAGGATCTCCCTCTGCATTTAGGATCCCATTCTGCACCCCTGGTTTTCACTGAGTGATGTAAAGATCCATCCATGCAACCCCTTACCCTAAATGACTTCTAAGTAATGGCCTCTGTAGTACATGAAAAAGTTCTTTAAAAGATACGTTGCTTTTGTTTCTTTCCATAAATTAAAACATTATCCTCACATTGCCTAACTACTGACTTAATATTTTGGAAAATTTATGTTTCTGACTTAATCAGGATTTTATTTCTGTATTGTATCTAAAATTATAAAAATTAATGTTGATATAGAGATTTAAATTTACAAAGCACATCCACCCACACTGCTAATCACAAGCAAGTCTAAACATAAAAAAGAATACATTAAGCATTGGAATTCAAAATAACAAACATTTGTCCGCTTCTTCATGGTTAATTTCCTGCTCTTAGCCAAAAACAATCATCTGTCAATCAGTTTAACTAAAGAGGAGGGGTGAAGAGCTGGCATAAATCATCATTATGGGTATTTAAAAATAATAATTAGTGAAAACATACATTAATAATAATTTTACACTCTAAAGAGCGGATACCAATATATTCAGAGTGTTTCACTGCTTTACTTTATGTAAGACTTTTTTGGTATCATAGTTTTTTTTTTTCCTTTTTCAATCAATCTTAACATTATAAATAAAGCATTAGCCTTTTCTCTGTATTTGTGACCCTACTCTAATCCCCAGGTACACCAACACACTAGCACACACACCTCACATAAATCCGAAAAAACGTGTTTATGCTTTTCAGTATAAAGAGATCTTAGTCATACTGTTCTATGCATGTGAATCATCCCATCGCTACCTCAACAGAAGAATACAGGCATCTGAGCCAGGACAACTTGTTTTCCATTTTACTTCTGTTTTGTGGGTTACCGGCCAGTGGTTACTTGGCACAATGATACTAAAACGACACTGAGAAATAAAACTTCCCTCTTCTTGTTAAAAATAAGTGGACATAAATGATGATGGATAGATAAATGACAGATAACAAAGGCTACAAGATTTCTCATCAAACAATATCTCATTGATCTGGCTTCATTGTCCAACAGGTCCCATGAATTAGCCCTAACTCTATATGATTGTTATATCAGCTCCCATTTATTGAGCATTTAAAATATCTCAAACACTGCGCTGTTAATCAGACGTGTTACTTTACTCCTTAAAGCAGCCTTATTAAGTGGGTGTAATTATTTCTCTTGTTTTGTAGAACTAATTCTAATAATTAGAAAGGTTAAGTAAGTAAATCACTCAGGGTCACATGAGATTGGAATACATTTCTGTTTAGTTCTAAAAACTGAGTCTTCCTTCTAAACAATGTTACCTCCCTTAGTACTCAAGCTAGTGCTACCATAGATAATAGTCCAGAAAGCTAAAATTGTAGTTGATTCAGCTAATTGTCACTAAATCAGAGCACAAGGGAAGCTGGTCACCTTCAGAAGTTCTATTCGACTCTCAGATTTGGGCTCTCTGATGGTGCTCACTACTTCTGAGTGATCACAGGGCCAGTGGCACTGTCTCACCTTCAATCCTAAGGGCATGAGTGAAATTAAGTGAGAGCCAGGTACGCTCAGTAAAACCCCACCATCTTTCATTGTTGTCCTGGACAGAGAGAGGAGCGCCAAGTGGCACACTCCACTCACCTCTAGAAAGCTTAGGTTCAAATGCCCGCTCTTCCATTTGAGTGTGACGACTTTGGGCAGGCTCCTGAAAACCTGAATTTGATTTCATCTGTAAAATGGAGATAACCTCCCGGGAGAAGTCACTGAGCTATGTGGAAATGCCCACCACAAATGAGGGGCTTAGCAATTTTTAGTTTTCTCCTTTAAGTCAGTCCAATCTCACAAAAGGTTCAGTCAATGCAAGTATCCCATGACACCCATCTGTCACCTTTAAAATGAAGCTTTTAGGAAATACTCTGGCTAGTGCATAGCGAATTGTGGGAGTACAGAGTCCCTTAGTACAGAGGCAGCATCTGCTTGAATCTTTGGGAGCAACTCTAAGATTGCACAGTTTATCCAGCAGTAAATTACACAAACATGGCAGATGGAAACTTTTCTAATAGCAATGGGTATGGTAGGTGGGGTTGGGGTAGCAGGCTGTTGACCTTGGAGGCTAATGGGGCTACCCCAGGTTTTTGCTGTGCAGTTGTTATGTTTCAGGGGCCATGATGAGATCTGGGTACGCCTGAAATCCATTGAAGAGAGGGTTTTTTTTTTTTTTTTTGTTCTCTGAAAGGAGTCTTCTTTTCAAAGTCAGAGGAAACAAATCTCTCAAAGAGAAAAACCTGCAAGTAAGAAGACTTCTAAATGATCGCCTCATTTACAAAAAGCCTATTGAGAAATAAAATTCGCACCATTAACTAAAGGGCAAAATATCACGATTATCACTCAGACTTGTTAAAAGCAAGCTTGCTCCTTGGTCGTTGAGGCCAGTGTTACATGTAAACTGAAACCCTCTTCTGAGACTACATCTATAAGAAATACATTAGTTGCACTGTGTGGCATCTATCTGGGAGGTTTTCATTGTTCTTTAAAACCCATATTATTTAATCATTCTAATCAAACTCCACAAAGTCTGCAAAACAAGCTAGGATTTTAGTTTGTAAACCAGCATAGATCCAGGATTTTTACATATTGGAAAACACTGACTTAAACGTTGTTCTGCTGTGTTTAATGCTCTTCAGGATATTATTTTTCAAAGAAGACAAAACAAAACATTCAAGGGGCGTGTTTTGTTTTAATATGTCAACATGTAATTCTGTAAAAGCATATATTTGGTTTTCCTTTGCTGGAATACAATTTGAATCTATACTACAAACTCCTGTATAATCAAGACATGACTACCAAGTTCTATTTATTTCTTATATACAGGGAGAAAAGAGTTTTGATAACTGTGCATTTGTTAAGGACTGAAATATCAGACTATCAACAACATGATTAAGCTTATTTTCAAAACTATCATATCTCATTAAAATGTTCTTTTTCCATGTTTGTCATCACTCATAACTTTTGTTTCTTTTTTAAGGTTTAGATTCAGAACTATCTACTTAATTTTACAATATGTTTAGGACAACTTGACTGGGATCGGGAGGAACTCTAAATGGGAAATGTATTTCTTTCTCTGAGAAGTTCTGGTAGTCTAGGCTCTTAAGTGTACTTCAGAATAAAAAAAATAAATAAATTAAGGAACTTCATCTAGCAAGTAGATCACTTGAACCTGAAAATACTGCTTAGTGCTAGCGTCTGATGACCAGAAACATCTCAGTGGAAGGAGGGTAAGAACTAGTCCTTATATTATACAAGGAAGTTTCAAAAGGTGGAAAATGGAACTGGAAGTTGAGTTTATTTGGGTGCAAAGAATTTTGAAATTTTTTTTTCATAGTATGCACATTCCCTGAACTTTACACCCCTCCTATGTATGCTTTATTTCCCTTTTACCATCAGAATTCTGGAGCCTGGTAAAACTTTAAAAATCGTTTCATCTAGCTCTCTTATTTAACAAATAAGAAAACTTCTAAATTAACAAATCCCCAAAGGCACGGCCCTGTAGTTTATTTGGGGGTCAGACGTCTGTGGTATCAGTTGCAGGAGGCATATATTGCCAATGTCTCTATAAGCTTGCAGACCCTGCCAAAGGTTTCTCCAAACCTAATTTCCAAACTGCACTTCAGATCACTGGAGATATCAGAAATCTACTTTCTGAAATCGGCTGTCTATAGAATAGTTACAGTTGTGAAAAGGGCTTAAGTTTAGAGTCAAAGTCAAATTCAAACCCCAGTGCCACCATCTTCTGGAGCTGGGTATTAAACATGTCACAATTTACATCTCTGGGTCACAGTTTTCTCATCTGTGGTAGGGAGACCACAATTCTGACCCAGAAGACTAAAGGAGCTAAATGTATGAGGGGACTTCAAAAAGTTTGTCGACAACACAATTTAAAGATAATGAAAAGGTTTCTGGGGGAAAAATAAATAAAAAAAATAAAGATAATGTTATTTTTAATGAACTTTCTTAAGACCACTCATATATGTGAAGTGCTTGACAAAAGTCACGGCATTTGACAGGTACTCAAATATAATTTTCCTCTTCTTATTTAAAAATGATGACCTTAAAAAAGAATACTGACCAACTCTATAAATTTGCACATCAGTTTCCAAGTGTTTTCTTACTTAATTAGGGCAGTTATTATTTCCCCTGTTTCCAGCTTCATGGGAGATTAAGTGACCTGCCCATGTTCATAAGTAGTAGAACTGAGATGTGATTTGATTTTATGGCAGTAAAGGGTCAGTTCTTTCGGAAGAGATTCCCATATAAAATAAAGTCACCATGGGCAAATTTAAAAAGCAAAACAAAACTTTCTAGGGCGAAATCAAATGAGAAGTTAAAAGTAAAATATTTTCAATTTTGCTATAAAGACTTGGACAAAAGCAAAGATGGGCAACCAAGAAAATAATTCTATTCTGACTTCAGGATCAAATTTAGTTAGCTGTTCAATTTTTGCTATTCTTAACGCTCTCATCATATCTTATATGAATTGTGCTAGAAGCAGAACTCCCTTACTCCAAATCAATCCATGCATCTGAACCAAAAAAAAGCTAGGAAAATACCTAATTATGATGGTACTTTCTTCTGTTTTCAGGGTTTTGTTTTTTGTTTTTTGTAGGACTAAGATCAATGGACCTAAGAGTGTATGAAACAAACTAAGCAAAGTCTATTAAGTCACATTTTATTTCTTTTAGAGGCTCTTTTAAAAACTATAAACAGTGTGAATCAGTGTGCATTGGCATCAAAATCAACTGGACTAATCAATCAGACCAGGCATTGAGTA